AAAGCACAATTTTTGGTACGTTGGTGATGGGATGCCGTGAAACTCTTGCAGTTTTTATAAAACTCTGCGCGGCGCTGAAGCGAGAACCACATTTTGAAAAGGAGCCGCCCTCAAACCGTGAAGCTCTAGCATTTTTTTAGAACGAATGTGCGCGGCACTAAGGCGAGAACCAGATGTTGAAAACGACTCGCTTTCAATCCGTGAATTTCTTGCAACTCTTGAAACGAGTGTGCGCCGCGCTTAGGCGAGAGCCACATTTTGAAAACCACCCGCTCTCTATCTGTGAAACTGTTGCCAATCTTGAAGCTTCAGAGTCATAAGCGGTGCGGAAATCTCAGGCGAAACGGCCGGCCCGCCCCAACAATTGGCCTCGGGGTGCGACAGGGACAAGTTATTACGGAAAGGAATGGAGGAGGAGGAGGAGAAGGAGAAGGAGGACGAGGAGGAGGAGGAGAAGGACCAGTGTAAACCCACGAGCCATCAACGATGTGGGATTACACTCTCCCTCCAAGCTCCCTCTTCGCATGCCCCTACAACAGTTCATTTCCATTGAGGGATTTGCTTCGTTGGAAGACAACCGTTTGAAGACTCGGAAGCATGCCAAAACATTGTTCTCGGGATCCCAACGCCACGGGTAAACTTGACTGTTGCGTCGCGATGATCCTGGATCGTGCCAGAACGCCATTCTCGGGATTCCAACACCGCGAATCAACGTAACTGGTGCACCCGCAAAATCCAGAATCCTTCCAAAACGCCAGTTCTGGTACGTTGATCGAGGGAATCCGTGAAACTCCTTGCAAATTGTATGAACGAATGTGCGCGGCGCTAAAGCGAGACCCACATATTGGAAAGGAACAGCCTTCAACCCGTGAAACTCTTGCAAGGCCTAAAACGAATGTGCGCGGCGCTAAGGCGAGAGCAACATTTTGAAAACGGGTTATCTTCAATCCGTGAAGCTGTTGCAAATGGTTAGAGCGAATGTGCGCGGCGCTAAGGCGATAGCCACATTTTGAAAACGGGTTATCTTCAATCCGTTAAGCTCTTGCAAATGTTTAGAACGAATGTGCGCGGCGCTTAAGCGAGAGCCACATTTTGAAAACCACCCGCCCTCCATATGTGAAACTGTTGCCAATCATTAAGCTTCAGAGTTATAAATGGTGAGGAATTCTCAGGCGAATCGGCGGGCCCGCCAAAAAACATGGCCTCGGGGTGCGGCAGGGAGAAGTTATTCATAAGGAAAATGAGTGGAGGAGAAGGATGAGGTGGAGAGGAGGAGGAGGAGGAGCCCGATCGCGCGATCACCCTGTTGATGCGCTGCTGACACTGTCGCGCGCCTAATTCGGTAGAAAGAGGACGAGGGCGAGGGAGGAGGATGAGGAGGAGATGGAGGAGAAGGAGGAGGAGGAAGAGAAGAAGGGTGAGGGGGAGGAAGAGGAAGAAGAGGATGAACATCTTCTCTGCAGTGCATGTGCAGCTTCAATGTCGAGATGGAAGGCTTCCAGATCCAGGTGCCCGGGCATGACGCTTTGCAAGTGCCTTGTGTGGAGAGCATGGTTGTTTTGGGTGTTTTCTTATCTCGATCCGGCTCCACGCCCGACAGCGTGCAGTATCGCATAGTGCAGGCTGATCGGTGTTTCTATCTGCACGCGGCGCTCCTATGCAACAGGCTGGGAGGCATGCGGCACAGGACCACGGGTTTTTTCGGCACTGCGGTGCAGACGCTGCTGCACAATGCGGGCGGGTGGCACGTGAACGGGGAGTTGCTCAGCACCATCAGGGCATGGGAAAACAACAAGTTCCGAATGATGTTTGGCATGCGGCGACGGCCTGACGAGTCACACAGCCAATTTTTGCAACGTACTTCCAGGACTATCACAGCATGGCTACGCAAGATTGGTTACCAACGCACACACGAACTACTTTTGGGCCGCGTTCATTCTTGGGCGGAGCGGGCGCTGCATCATAGGCTTTCCAATGGGGAGGCTCCGCTGGCTTGGCTGTTCGCAGCCGCCGACACGACAACAGTACCGGTTGGAGACATTGGCGGCCAGGGCGTCTGCTAGCTTGGGAGGACCCTTTCGTGGGAACAATGGGTCCAGAGTGGTGGGATGCTGCGTTGGCGGGAGGTCCAGGCTGGAGACGTACGAAGCGGGATTTCATCATCAAAGCTTGCCGGCAGTGGCACGTGGCCGTTGACGAGGCGACGTCGTCGTGTTTTGCGGCCGCGCGGTCAGGCGCAGACATTGTCATACCTATTTGGGCCCCTGGGGATGAGATCTGGTGGAGAGGCTGCCGATGTTTCGAATTCCGTGTGGACAACAAAAATCTGGCCGACTACTTGTCTGGATCTTCGCGATGTGAGCTGGGACCGACCAGGGACCGGCTCGCCGTCGTCAGCAGGTTTCTTGGGAAGTCGGTGCAGCAGCGAAGCTGGTCCCCGCGTCAGCCGTATGCCGACTGGATTGTGTGGCCTCCGCGGGAAAGAAACCGGGTTCCGGATAAGATGGCAAATTGGATTATGGACAACGGCGTATCGACAGCATGGGTAGCAGAACATTTACCGAACGTTTCCGATGGCAATGTGGTCTTGATGTCGGACGGGGGGCTCCGCCAGGACGGATGTGGCGCAGCGGCATGGGCAGTGTACTTTTTCAGCAGTGGGCGGCCGACGCTGGTTGCGTGCGGAGGCTCGCCTTGCCAGGTCGATTCCAGTTTTGACGCCGAGTTGCTGGCTCTGGAATACGCGGTGGGCGTCTTCTGGGGTTTTAGCAGTCGACCAGGGCATCCGCATCCCACACACCATCGACGAGAAGCTCCGGGGTAGTATCGAGTAGGATCGTGTAACTGCACGGCTATGGCTTGAAGCAGCGTCGGAAGGAAGGAAGGATGATATTATGATGATGATATCGCTGCTGCTGCTGATGGTGATGATGATGCGGATGATGGTGGTGGGGGTGATGGTGATGATGATGCTGGTGCTGATGATGATGATGACGTTGATGATGCTGATGACGATGCTGATGATGATGATCAAGATGCTGCAGATTATGTGATGGTGATGGTGATGATGAGCCTGATGCTGATGATGGTGATGATGATGGTGTTGGTTCGTATGATGCTGGTGATGGCGGTGGTGATGGTGATGATGTTGCTGCTGCTGCTGATGATGATCAGAATGGCGGTGGTGATTATGAGTCTGATACCACTTCTGATGATGATGATGGTGGTGGCGGTGATGATGACCATGATGCGGATGATGATTATGATGTTGTTGATGCTGTTGCTGGTGATGATCATGACGATGATGGCGACGACGATGATGATGACGATGATGTTGATGATAGTGGTGATGGTGATGGTGGTGATGATGATGTTGATGGTGATGGTGCTAGTGATGGTGATGGTGATGGAAGTGGTGGTGGATGATGATGCTGATGCTGCTGCTGATGATTATAATGATGGCGATGATGGTGCTGATGAAAATAATGCTGATGATGCTATTGCTGCTGATGCTGCTGCTGATGATGTTGATGCTGGTGTTGATGCTGCTGATGATGATGATGTTGATGATGTTGATGATGTTGCTGCTGATGATGGTGGTGGTGGTGGCGGTGACGATGCTGCTGATGATGATGATGATGACGATGGTGATGATGATGATGATGCTGATGATGATGATGATGATGAGGATGATGATGATGATGATGACGATGATGATGATGATGATGATGCTGCTTTTGCTGCTGCTGATGATGATGAGTGATGAATGATGACTGATGGTGGTGATGATGATGCTGCTGCTGCTGATGATGATGATGATGATGATTGATGATGATGATGATGATGATGATGATGATGATGATGATGATGATGATGATGATGATGATGATGATGATGATGATGATGATGATGATGATGATGATGATGATGATGATGATGATGCGGCGGAGTTTGCGGAGGAGGCGGAGGAGGAGGAGGAGGAGGAGGAGGAGGAGGAGGAGGAGGAGGAGGAGGAAGAGGAGGAGGAGGAGGAGGAGGAGGAGCTGGAGGAGCTGGAGTCTCTGGCGCAGCGCGCAGGACAGCCACAGTGGGAGTGGGGTGAGGCCAAGGTGCTCCCCCACCTGAGGGCTTGTGGGGCGACACCTCCGCCGCAAGAGAACGTGGCAAACGCGGGGGAATCTTGCTCGAAGCTGTGCAGCAGGGCGGTTGGAGGCGGGGTGCGCGCGCGCGTAGACGGTGCGCCCCTCTCGCCTGCACCGCCACGCCCGCATAGAAAGAAAAACAAAACCCGAAATGATGAGGGGCATATCTGGGTTCGAGGAGGAGGAGGAGGTGGAGGAGGGAGGTGTTTTGGAGGAGGAAGGGAGGGGATCTGATCAAAATCGGTCCCCTGGCCCTTCCTGGGGCTTATCCTGGGCAGTCTTCTGCCCCGCATCGACCGCCGACGGTCTTGGGGCCCGAAAGGGTTTGCAGTGGCCGAGAAGGGCCAAAACTTCTCCGAGCCTCGAGCTGCGAGCCTCGGGGGACCCAGTTCTCCGACGACGTGTTTTTTCTCACGGCGTGGGTTCCCAGAGGTCTGCACCCCTTCTCCGGGAGCATCTTTTGGTCCTGGGTCGGTTTTTGAAACGTTCTGGGGCCCAGAGAGGGCCCCCGAAGCCTGACAATGGCCAAAGGCCTCCAGTCGTGAGTGTTTCGCAGCGAGCGAGAGGAGGTGCTTCGAGTCTCGGGAGGGGGAGGGGGGGGGGAATGGTAGAGAGGAGGCCTGGGCTGGCGGGCGCCGTGGGGGCCTCCTCCTCCTGCTCTTCTGAATCCTCCTCCTCCTTCCTCTTCCTTCCTCCTCCTCCTTCCTCCTCCCTCCTCCTCCTCCTCCTTCCTCGTCCTTCCTCCTCCTCCTCCCTCCTCCTCCCTCCTCCCTCCTCCTTCCTCCTCCTCCTCCTCCCTCCTCCTCCTCCTCCTCCTCCTCCTCTTCCTCCTCCTCCTCCTCCCTCGCCCGGGCGAAGGCCGCGCCAGATCGCCGCCGACGCCGTGGCGTCGCCGGCGCCGGTCGCGGGCGCATTGCGACTTCCTCTGGATCGAGTTTCGATGAGATCTTCTGACATCTTCGTCGGTTCCCGGCGGTTTTTCTCCAGCTCTGGGGTGCGTTCCAGTAGCCGCGCCTCGCCGAGAGCGTTCCAGGGTGCCCGGATCGTCCCGAACGGCCGCCAGAGACCCAGGCATGGCCCGAAAGCTAGAGGCGGAGAGGCGTTTTCCTTATCATTCTCCCTTCTTATTTCTTCTCTGCGTCTTGATTTCTCTTCTTGTCGTTGTTCCTTCGTCGTTGTAATGCCTCCTTCGTCCTTGTTCCCTCCTGTTCTTCTTCTTTATTGCTTCCTTCTCCCGTTTTTCTTCTACCTTTCTTCCTTCTCCCTTTCTTCATTCCGACTTCGGACGGCGACAGCGACGACGCCTTGTCGTGGGCAAACAATGCCGAACACCCCTTCCTCCTTTCGGTGGTGGTTGGATGGGGACCCCCGATAACAAAGTGCGACCGCAAACGCAACCTTTTGCATGGTCGCGCGGATGTCACTGGTCGGCTCTGGGCTCTGGACCCCTATACTTCGAAGAACAAATACTCCGACGGTAGGACCTCGCATGATAATCTCCTTTGTGTACATGTGCGTGACAATCGACTGTTCACGACGGAGATGGTGCTAGGATGCCAAGATGCCAAGATGCCAGGATGCCAGGACGCCAGGATGCCAGGGATGCCAGGATGCCAGGATGCCAGGACACCAAGATGCCATGATGCCATGATGCCAGGGATGCCAGGATGCCAGGCGGTCAGGAGGCCAGGACACGATAATAGCATGGCAAAGTCCCGGGATGCCAGTAATACCAGGATGCCAGGGTGCCAGAATGCCAGCATCGTAAGACCCCAGGATGCCTGTGCAACTTGTGCGGCCTGTGGGATATGCTGGACCTATGGGATCCGTGGAATATTTAGGACCCGTACGACCTGTGGGGCCTGTGGAATCTGTGGGACGTGTGCGACCTGTGAGAGCTGTGAGACCAGTGCCACCTGTGGAGCGTATGGGACTTGCGAGGCCTGTGGGGATGGTACGACCTGTGCCACCTCTTGGACTTCGGAGACCTGTGAGGCTTGTGGGACTTGTGCGACCTGTGGGGCGTGTGCGACTTGCGGGGCCTGTGGGGCCTGTCAGACTGTCAGAAGGGCGGGGCCTGCGCCTGGATGCCAGGGATGCCAAGGATACCAAGGATGCGAGGGTGCCAGGCACACCAGATATACCAATGATCAGGATGCAGCGGGTGCCAGAATGCGAACGCGAAATCAATTCCAGGAGTTGAATTCCGGGAGCACGAATAACCCGACGTGGATTACAGTTGGTTCTGGACATTCGGGTCAGTCCCGAAGATCCTGAAGTGGCTTGCAGTTACACTCGGAACCAGTCCCAGGAATGGAGTTGTGGGAGCACGACAAGCCCGAAGTGATTTACAGTTGATTCCGAACGTGCCATATCGGCCCCAGGAGCGGAGTTCTGAGAGCACGAGAGAGCCCGAAGTGGCTAACAGTTGGCTCCAGCTCCAGCTCCAGCTCCAGCTCCAGCTCCAGCTCAAGCTCCAGCTCCAGCTCCTCCTCCTCCTCCTCCTCCTCCTCCTCCTCCTCCTCCCCTTCTCCTCCTCCTCCCCCTTCACAACTACTAATATGAATACTTCTCTTCTCTCTCCCCTGAATCTGTGGCGGAATCTGTCTCGGAGTGTTCGACCCCCCCTCGCGTATGTTTTTTTCCACAGGATGTCGGCGAGTTGGGTTTCGTTCCGCGCTTCGGCTCATTCCGAATCGTGCTCCCGCCGCTGCGCTGGCTTCATTTTCGGGCTTCCGCTCGTTCCGAATCGTGCTCTGGCTGTAGCGCTGGCTTCATTTCCGCGCTTCCACTCGTTCCGAATCGTGCTCCCGCTGCAGCGCTGGCCTCATTTCCGCGCTTCCGCTCGTTCCGAACCGTGCTCCCGCTGCAGCGTTGGCGTCATTCCCCAATCAGAGCTTGCCTCTGTAGGTTTCCTAGCGGATTCAAATGGTTAGGTGAGGTGCGTCGCCGATGTCGGTGGCCGGACTGGGTGCCCGGGTGCCCGGGTGCCCGGGGGTGGAGAAGAAAGTGGAGGAGGCGGAGGAGGAGGAGGAGGAGCAGGAGGAGGAGGAGGAGGAAGAGGAGGAGGAGGAGGAGGAGGAGGAGGGGCAACGGGAGGGAGGATGGGGTGGGGAGGAGCCTCTCTCTCCTTCTCCGCTCCCCGTTCCTGCCCGCTTCCTTTTCCACGCCCAGGTCCTCCGGTCGCTGGCGGAGGCGAGGCAGTCTGCCACGGGCATGCCAGCTTCACCATCGGAGGCTGCGTGGGGACTTCGGGTGCTTCGCATGTGCACGGGCGACAGTTTTGTTCGCCCCCCCTCGTTTCCTCTGGCTCTCACCTCCCAGCTCCCATCCTAGAAACCCATGCAAAGAAACACCCCGCTTGCCTTCAGGGTGCTCTGGGTTTCTTGGGTATCGATGGTTTTGCTATGGGCATCCTGAGGTTTCAGGGTTGGGTTTCTTGTGGAAGGTCCCTTGCTGTCGCGCTCCTACTGTACCTCTTCTCCTGGAGCCCTTCCCCTCACCATCCCATCGTTTCCTCTCTCAATTTCGCCTGTCTGCTTCTCCCCCCCCTCTTCTCCCTTCTCTGCCTCTCCCTCCTTCTGCTCGCCCTTGCAAGGGCATTCCCATTCCCCCTGGGTCCCTGCTGCAAGGGCACACCCATGCCGCAAGGGTATTCCTGCAGTTCAGCTGCGCGGGGTGCGCGGGAACATAATGCTGCCAGCGCTGGTTCTGGCTACCGCGCCTGGGTGCTCCTCGGACCGCTTCTGGCGCGCATTGGCGCTGTTTCGGCGCAGGGGCGCCCAGAATCCTCATCCGAGCGCGCTGGTGCAGAGCCTGGCGCCCCTTCGGTCCATCCCGCCACCGTGCCCGGGTGGTAAGTCAGAGGCCTCCCGTGTCTGTGAGGATCTCGTGGGATGCATCTCGGATGCCTCTTGGAGGCGGTTTTGTGGGCTGCCCTGGGGCGTCTTCGGAGCCTCTAGGGGCCTAATTTGGGCGTCTTGGGTTGTTTTTGGGCGATCTTGGGCGCCTCTTGGGCCGCCGTGGAAGCCATACAACGGAGGGTCTTTGACGACTTTGGTCCATGGGCCGCCCTGCCCTCCACGGCCTCCAAGACGGCCCAAAAGACGCCCTTGAGGGCTCCAGGACGGTTCCCGGGTCCGTCGGAAATCATGTTGGACATGCATGTCCCGAACAGTGCGCTCTTGGCTTCTGGAAAATTCACGCGGTGACCCGAGAGCGACCAGGAGCGCGCTTGAGCGTTTATGAGTGCCCGTTATTCTTGCTTGTGGGTCTTTTGGAGAACATTGGCAGATCTCAATACAGAGAACTCGCAGGGACCTGAGGATACTCCGTCTCGTGCCTCAGGGCACGGTGGCGGATTTTCCTATATGTTTGAGCCATTTTGGCTTCTTGGGGAGGTCCTGAGGGGGCTCCGAGAGCACTTCAGGCAGTCTTGGAGCGAACTCTTGGGCCCTGGTGCATGATGGAAGCCATCCTGAGCCATCGCTGGCTACATTGAGCCATCTTGGAGGCCATCTTGGAATATCGGAGCCCTTCTGAGCCATCTTGGGCGAAAAGGACTCTTCGACGCATCGCGGACCCCCCAGAAAACCGCAGGGAAGGGCTGCGGCATAATTTAACGGCATTCCCCACCTCCCCACCAGCTTCACTGAAGATATGCGGTGGGGAGGCGCGGACCAGCAGACTCGCTGTCCGCCGCCACCTCAGGGCGGGTGCCAACTTCGGCTTGGCCACGGGTTGCGACTTCAACGACGAGAGCCAGCAGAGAGACGTGGAACGATAGATTTGACAGTCCGGTAAAGTTGGTGCGACTTGCTTGGGCTGGAGGCGTGACTGGATTTGGCTGGATTCGAAGCGTGACTGAATCAACGCATGACCAGGGACTCCCCCACTATTCGGATCCACCCCGAACCCATCGAATTCGCATAGGATCCGTCCAACAAGCATCGGACCCGCATAGGATCCGTAGCGGATCCGTACCCAGATCCGACGCCCGTGGCAAAGTTGACACTGCCGAGCGGGGACCCTCGTAAACGTCTACGGGGGTCCGTGCATTCATTTTCGGGCGCCCGACGGTGCGCCCATCGCCCGCGACCTACCGCTAAACCCCTTTTCCCCAGGCTGGCCGGGCCGACGGCCCCTGGCCTGGCTGGACCGACAGTCGGATGCCTTCGTGCGATTTGAGATTTAGGGCAGAATTTTAAAATCGTACCAACTTCAACGACTGTGTGTAGTGGCTCTCATGGCTCCCACTTGCCGGCCTTTCGGTCGTTGCGGTACTTCCAGTTGCAAGTGCAATTGCCGCATTTGGCTGCGCTTCTACGAGGACGCGGGCCCACGTGGCTGATTCTGCGGCGACGTAGCACTGATGCAGCTCGGCGGCTGCTTTGTCAGCGAGCAGCCCGAGATTCGTGGCTGTGCGCCGAGCCGCTCGGGCCAGAGGTGTTGGTAGTATCAGGCGTGCATAAAGTCATGTTCGCTCAGCGCCAACTTGGTCTTCGAGATCGTCACGGTGGCATATTGAGAAATACCGCCGGCTTGGTCTACAACGTCCCAGAGATCTTCGAGCAGGCCGTGAATTTTAAGTGCACCAATGAGCACGCCCACGTGTGCGTCGAGGGCCACAACGGCATCGACACTCAGGGCTGGCCATGGAAGATGGCGGAGCGGCTCGTCCAGGGCATCGCGGATCGACGCCGCCGCCTAAAGCTCTCGCATCTCGCGAACTGTGTTCACGCGAGCGACGTCGAAGCGGCAGCCTTTCCAGCAGTGGCCCCCGCAACCGCAGAGGGCGAAATCAGGAGTGCCATGGCCGCTGAGCGCGCGCGTGCTACTCGTGCAAGGCGCGCAGGCGCAACGTGCGAGCAGACTCGCCTATGCACTCCAGAGATCCGGCCACCTGCCCAATGTCCTCGCAGCGCCCCAGTACACATGGAACGCCCGGGTTGCCGCTAGGAGACAGTGCGCGAGCACCCTGCCCGCGCCCGCGAGTGCAGCAAGAGCAGGTTCGCGGACCCTCGCGCGCGGTCGCGCCCGCGTGCCAACGAACGTCTGCGAGCGCCAGCACGACCAGGAGGACCATGCCATTCCAGCTATCAGCAAGCTCAACTGCCTGGAGGAGTCGACCTCGGAGCAGCAGACAAATCTGCCTTGCCACTGGCGCCTGCCAGCGCGCCGGGCACCAGCTCATCCTCCAGCGCTAGGGCTTAGAGCAGCGGTTCCGGCAACGGTGTTGCCGGACTACAGCTGCGAGCCAGCCCCGCGGCCGACGCAGTGCCGAGACGCTCGGCGCCCCGAGCTGTCGACGCACCTCTGGGCAACCCAGCGCCTGCAGACTGGGGCCGTCTTGACGTCGCCGCGTTGCTGCGAGCGCTGCGCGGCAACTCGCGCGAGGCAAGAACGCGAGGGCCGCGCATGCAGCACCTCCGGTGGCGGCGCGCCACCGAGGAGGGCGCGGCGCGGACTCTGCGAGCAGCCAATTTCCCGCATGAGGTCCTCGATCTCATCCCCACAGTGGCAAACGACTGTCGGGAATGTCGCGAGCGGCTTCCGCCGGCGCGCCAGGCCATTCCCGCGCCGCGCCTTTCGACGCGATTCAGCTGGCGCGTCGAATTCGACATCCTTTGCTGCAAGGATCGCATGGACTTACGCGTGACCTGCCGTGCCTCGAGGTGGCGCTGCGGCCTGGAGGTCGCGAGCCAGCGCGACTGGGCGTAGCTGGCGGCCATCGACCGTTTGCTGACCTAGCTTTTCGGCGCGACGGGGACTTGAATCGTGGGCGGCGACGGCGGCGTGACCTTTACTTACTTGATGGGGCAGATGATGAGGCGCGGGGTACAGGTTGACGCTCGAGCTCCGCGCCAGCACCGTCGAGGACGCGGTGCGAGGTGGCGCTGCATGAGTTGCTAGAGCGCGATGGCACCGCGGCCAACTGCGACTATGCTAGCCGCCGCAATCTTCGCGGGCAACGGCCTCGCGCACGTTCGCGGCGCCGCGCCGTGCAGCGTCGTTTTCGGCGGGCAGCCCTCCATGATGCCACCGCTCATAGCTGACGGAGAGGACATGGTGCGCGGCGGCTGCGTTGCTGGCGCTGGCCCCGCTGCTGGTGGCGAAGTGCAGCCCGGCCGACTGCGCCGGCGCATCCGAAGGGTCGCGCCCTCTGGACGCGCCGCCGAATCTGGAGACTGGCGCTTCAATGTTGGCGACCAGGTAGAGATCCAGGGGCCCCCGACCATGAAAGACGCGCCGGGCTGGGCGCGGCCTGGCAGGGTCATTTCTGTGGGCCCGGCTAGAGGCGAGGTCACGGTCAAGCACTGCCAAGCCGAGATGGTCGGCAGATTGCGAGGCGCACGGGCCTCCATCGGCGCCGTCTTCGACGAATGTGGCGCCGGCCTGGCCCGGGATCGCGCGGGGCCAGGGCCGTCGGCCGCTGGGGTGGCGCGAATGCCCTGACGTCCTCGAGGCGCTGCGCCACTTGTCCCGCATATGCTTTCAGCTGACAGACGTTCGCGCCGTGTGTCCCGTTCGCGACCGGAAGGCTGTGGGCGACTGGCCGTGCTGCGCCCGCAGTTCGGTCATTTGGCGCCTCCATCGGAGCCTAAGCGGCGTCGCGTAACTGCGCCTGGGCGGCGTTCGACGCCCACTACCTGATTGGCGAGCAGTGGTAGGGCGCTCGCGTCATCCAGTGCATCTTGGGTGACGAACAGCTGCTGGCGGCCGACGCCTGGCAGGGCCAAGACGGGGCGTTCGACGACTGCGTCATCGACGCCCCCGAGGGCGCCGCCAGCGTCGCCGAGGGCGGTTCACCATCAGTTTTGTCAGTCACGCCAGAAGAAACCGTCAGCGTTTTCTCCAGCCACGTCCAGCAGGTGACATTGGCAGCCCAGCAGGGAGTCGAGGGGGCAGAGGGCCCGGCCCAGGAGCTGCACGGGCTGGAGGGCTGATTGCCGGCAGAAGATCCACGCTGCTATCGAGCTCGCCGCGGCTGGCCTGGGCCGCAAGCCATTCGGGCGGCCCCAGCGTCTGGAGGCGCCGCGCCGGCGTCGGAGCATCCGCGCGCAGTGTCGCCACTACGTGCGGGTGCCTCCGCGGACGACTACGCCGCGCCGGACGAGGAGCGCGAAGGAGGAGAACGTGCGGAGTTGCATTTGGACACGGGAGTGCGAGGGGCATTCCCGAGCTGCCGCGAGGGGGCGTCCGGCTACTGCGTTGCTGCGGCCGCGACGGCCGCGCTTAACGTCGACGCCTCCGTCGAGACCGCGGTAACCGAGCGCGACGCCAATCTCTTGACCAAAGGGGAGGTGTCGAGGCTGCCGAGGGAGGTAGACGCAGCTATCCTCGAGGCGCTTAACATCT